GATGGTCTTTTCTAGCAACTCTGAGCTATAATGGACTGCCCAAACCGGAAGATTCATTGCTAATATCGACAAGATGTCTCACAGAAGCTGTCCCATACAACATCAAAGCAGAAAAACGTTATGCAACAGAGGAATTTGAAGAAGAGCTTTGGAGTGACGAAGAACTTGCTAGACAAAACAAGGAGATATCGAAAAAGACTTGTCTCAGGATAAGGTCTTCTTCATTGGAGTGAGCCACGTCCAACATCAGAAGTCGAGCTAAACGACTTATAACAGGAGCGCTTAATGGGAGGCCACCCGGACTCTTAAGAAGGAATTTGGAAAGGTCCTATTAAAATAAAAAGATATAGAAGTGGTTTAATTTAATAAACCGGAATTAGGAAACTGGTAACATCCGATCTTTAGTTAATCAAGAGTCGGGATGTTATATTTTCAGAAAGAAAAATAAAAGCCAATGCAAAAGATTACAAAGTAGTTAAAAAAAGAAGTGAAAGAGAATGATAAAAGATATATAAGAATACAAAATAATGGTATCGATGTGATCATAAAAAGAAAAAGTCAACGTAATACCCTCGTTGACAAAATCATTTCTCTTCTTCGAAAGCAGAGACAAGAAAAGAACGTGCCAATCCCGTTGGATTGGCAAAACTGATTTGTTTCGGATCTTGTTCATCAACAAAAATCTCAGAGACAGTAAACCAAATAAGAAGCTCCTTGCTCTTGATTCCGGTTATCGTACGCATCCGACGGTTCTCAACGAACGCAGTAACCTCCGAGTCGTACGACACGGTTTTTCCGATGCCTTTAAACCGGTGCTGAACCTTGTTCTTCATCTTGATCCAGAAATAACCGGTCGACTTGTTGAAACCGATCTCGGTCATTGTGTCCAAAGGGAGAAGTCCTTTGGGTAGATTCATGGTCGATAAGATCTCGTCGGCTTTTTGCTTGCAGACTGATCCTCCATTGAAGATCTCTGCTCCTTCTCTTTGATCTTGTTTTGTTTCTTGAGTCGACATTATAGGTTATGAGATGGTCGTGTGATGCTGGGGATTTTTGATGGTTTTCTTATATAATAGGCTCTTTTCTGTGAGAATCCTGGAGGTAAAGCGTGAAGATAAATGTGAGTATGTTAGATGTGCGTACTACGTAGGGAGGAGTGGGACGCATGCACTAATTAGTGTTCCTGGTGGAATATACTTATATATATTTTTATTTTATTTTAAACATGAAACAAATCTTCGCCTTTGCCGCATGGAAAATGAAACTCATAAGCTTAATATTTTATTATAAAGAATCAAAAATTTGGACCATTTCTTGCATCGAGCATGTCATCATGTTAATCTTTTCTGTGTCATTCTACTATTATAGTGACCATAGGTCCATAAGGTTAACAATGCTAAATTTTTATCAGCAAAGCGGAAATGAAATAAAAAATGACAGACATATATTTTTATCAGGGCTCCGCAATCATACACGATGTTGGTCTCACGTTTTGCCTCGTTTTCTCAGTTTAATTAGCGGGACGAAAATAACATGATAATGGAAGTAGGCCTGGACATTCATATATTTGGTTCGGTTTCGGGTAGGAGATACGCGAGCTAATACTCTTATGCATACACGTATCTCTTTGCCTAAGTTCGGAGATACGAGCTAAAACTCTTATGTTTTCTTTCTCGTAAGTGTCCAGTCACCTCCAAGAACCATATTCCCTTATCAATGTACCAAATTGTGTCTCTAGGTAGAAACTTCCTTTTTTTTTTTTGGAAGATGAAACCAAACTACAAATTCTCCTTTGATAAAATCTCTACTGAAACACCCTGCTAATTCAGCTCCAAATATCTCATGCCAATTACGACCTTTTCTCCGATGAGGTTTCTCTGCCGCTTTTCTCTATTCTAACACCCATGGTCAATTTTATCAAGAATCATAAGTCAAGAGCCTATAGAGATTTTAACTAGTAACTATCAATCATTTTTCATGAATCCTGATTACTATTAGCATGCAAACAAAAGCGAATAATAACAACTGCTTAGTTCTGCTTCAATAGCAAAACAAAAAGGGTATTGTCATTTTTTCATAGCAATTTAAAAAAAAAAAATTAGCAAAAAATGAAAGCATTACAATTACTCAAAGTTGACATTCACAAAAAAAAAGCAAAAGAAATGAAAGCACCGTATGGAATTCATTCAATATACAGAGTATCCAAAATAGTAAGAGTGAAAATTGAATTTTGCAAATTCATTCAACATAGACTAGTTTCCTAACAGGCCAAAGCGAAAGTTGATTCAACTATCTCACATATTCAAAACCCGTTTGGCAGACTAAATTTAATTATTTTGTAACATTAGTTTCATAAGTATTTTAACTGGAAAGATGCAGATAGGATAATACAGATATCTTGGAGAAAAAAAAAGGGAAACAATACATTGATTAGATAATTAAGGTAAGCAAAGCGAAAGAAATATGATTTAGCTAATAAGCAAAGTTCAAGAACGTTGACAAATCAATTCTCTTTTATTCCTCGAAAGCATTGACGGGGAAAGTCCGTGACAGTCCCGTCGGATTAGCAAAAGTAATTTTCGTCGGATCTTGATCGTTAACAAAAATCTCAGAGATCGTAACCCAAAGCAGAAGCTCCTTGCTCTTGATTCCGGTGAGCCTACGCATCCGACGGTTCTCGACGAACGCAGTGACCTCAGAATCGTACGATACGTTTCGTCCGATTGCTTGAAACCGATGCTGAACCTTGTTGTTCATCTTGATCCAGACATAACCGGTTGATTTGTTGTGTCCGATCTCTGTCATGTTGTCTAAAGGGAGGAGCCCTTTTGGTAGATTCATGGTAGATAAGATCTCGTCGGCTTTTTTCTTGCAGATTGATCCTCCATTGCAGATCTCGGCTCCTTCTCTCTGATCTGATATTGTTTCTTGAGACGACATTAGATTAAAAGAATCGATTCGATAAGATGAGAGTTGTGTGTTTTTTTTAATGGTTTCTAACTTTCTATATATAGGTCTTGAGTTTGTGAGAATTTTGGAACAGAAATTACGAAACTGGGTTTGCAGAAGAAGGATCAAAGCGTGAAGGTGAGGGTAGAATAGGAGTTGAAGATAAAATAAGACGAGTAGGTTAAGCAACAGATGTGCGTACGCGTTGGTGGGACGCATGCACTTCGTGTTCGTGGAATATTGTATAATAATTATAAAATATATTATTTTCGTGATGGAAAATATTTTTTTTTTTAAAACTGAAAAGATATATTTTTTTTTGTTTTTCGACAAACAAACAAACAAACTTTTTGTTTGCAACCAGAAAATAGCTCATAATAGGCTCTGTTTTTATTTTGTCTTTTTTTTTAAGAAAAACGTTTACAAACAAGCTGTAAATTTTTTCATTTTGATTATAATTTAAAATTTTATTCAAAAAAATAAACTTTTTATTTGAAATTTTTGTACATGCAAAGACCTAGAGATGTGGTATTTTTCTTACGAGCTTATCGAAGTGTTTCTGTTTCATCTTATAGATAAATCAATTATTTACCCTTATCTAACAAAAAAATGGTTAATAATCATTCGATCCGATAGAGTCCTCAATAGGTTAATAAATTGTGTTATTTTGATAATGGAAAAATTTAATAATTGTTTTCTTGTTGTTCCGCAGGAGCCATTGGTTTCTAACTTTCTCTATATATGTTAATCCATCGTTCAAGTAGCTTCTGCAAGAGCCTTTGTATTTTGCGGTTCAAGAAAGTAATAAAAGCTTGCGTTTAAAGATTTTGTTACTAATCTAACACCGAAACAGAGAAAATGATAGTTTTCAAACATTCTTGGGATTACCTCTCCCACCCTTCGTCTGTAAGTCTATCGTTTCTCCGGTGACGGGATCAAAGATTAGATTCGAGGTAGAGGAGGTTCGACGATGGTCCAGCGTATCGGTGTGGGCGATATGGTGAGATCGGGGACTTTTCACTGTTGGCAAACCATAGTTTCTGTAAAACCATTACCAATTCTCGGTTCAAATCAATTAATAGATTAACATTTAACAATAACTATGGATTAATCCGCGCTATAGCGCAGAAAATATATTTTTAATCTTTAATTAATTTAAATAATTTGATGAAAACAGTTATTTTGTAAAAACAGTTATTGTTATAAAGTTTACAATAATATAGTGCATATTTTTGTGAATTTTAAATAATAAGTTGACCTGATATATATATATATATATATTTTTTTTTTGAATTATTAAAAATGAGTTTATCCGTATATGAAGTTATTTTATAAGCGTGTAAAGCAAAATAAGTTGTTTTAAACCCGTTGGCACTAAACTAAAATATTATCTAGGCTATTATTAAAAATTATAATATTATAATCATCAACTTTAATTTGCATAGTTTAATAATTGACATTTATAATCTGTTCACTAACTATAAAAATTTAATTTTATCTTTTTAACTATATATGAAAATAATATATTCTTTACACTTAGGTTTGATATATAATAAATAAATATACAACAAATTATATTTAATTTAAAAATATATATAGTTTAGTAGATTGAATATATTATCTATTTAAAAAAATTAATATTTGAATTTTGAGATTTTTTTTGTGGGTATTAAAAAATTAAAATTATAATCTGTTCATATCGAACTAACCCGTTTACTTAACATATTTGTATTGGATTAAAATTTAATAATTAATTATAAAATTCACTCTCATTTCACCACAAATTTTTTTTATTAAAGATCAATTTTTCATATCAAAGTTTTAGTAAAATAACTAAAAAAGTATTTTTCTATATAATCAATCAAATGTAGCAAATTATCGAAAAAAAAACACTTCATCACTTTTTTAATATCATAACTTTTAATTTTGATTTTTATAATATTTCTAAATTCAAAAATTTATTTTCACGTTTTTTAATTAAATATACTTTATAATATCATTTGAAAATAGAAATAATAAAAACTATCAGATTTTTGAATTTATAAATTAAATAATAAATATACTCTATTAAATGAGAAATAAAGATTTTCCATATTTTTAGCAATAGAGTTGAAAGACAACTATATCCTTTTCTATTTTAATTATTCTTTGTTATTTGTAATGGCATATCATGTAATATTTTACTAAATAAAGGTTATATTTTAAAATGTCTACTCAAATAATAATATAGAGATTTTTACATATTGCATTAAGCAAAAATTTGAAACTAGACTTTGTCTTGCCTTCAGTTTAAGATTTAGAACGATAGACTTTTCACTTGTAATGTTGTTTTCCTTTTACATAATTGCATCAATGCTCGGTGAGGGTTAGTGATCAAAATCTAATAAGACAAAAGCATTATGAAAAGTATTAGTTTGTCTTAATAGATTTCTATTTTCTTTTTTTGGTGGCCTAAAAGAGTTCTAAAAAGTACTGGAAGTCAGATGTGTCCTAATAATTCAAATATTATGGCATGTTTCTTTTTAGGGAGAGTTTCAGATTTAACCCATATTTCAAAGTCAAACACCAAACTAACTTCTTTTTTTCTCTCTCCAACTTTTGCCATTTTCTCACAATTTTATCATTCTCACTTAAACTATTAACGAAAAAGCCATTATACATCTTTTATTTCGATTTTTCTTTAATTTGGCTAAAGTCTCCTTGGACCTTCTAAAAACCTTTTTATTACGAAAATGCCATCTTCTTCAATTTCTTCGACCACCATGAACAACCATGAAAATGGAATAAATGCTTCTCAACCAATTTTAAAGCTGTAATAAGTAAAGATTTGAGCTCATTCACTCATAACCTTCCTCATTCTTTCATAATTTCTTTTCCAAAACATCTGGGCTAAGTTACAATGCCAAAAGTCATGCATTTTTGGTGATTTCTGGTTACTTAACATCTGGGTTGCTTATTTTTGGTGAAATCCTGAGTTCTGGGTGCTTAAAAGAATTGTAGCCGAGCTCAATTTTGTTAAAGGTAATCGTCGCATTTCAATTTCTCCATATTTCAGTTTTCATATCGCGAAAGTAGACTTCTCGTGAAGTATACTGAAGTCTACTAGTCAACATAAGGTTATTTTTGCAATTGACTTTTAAAAGTAGACTTCGTTAAACCTCACGAGAAGTCTACTCGATATCCTTTGAAAACAAAAAAAAGCATAGTAGACTTCATTTGAAGGCTTAAGAAGTCTACAAAAGAAATGAGGTTATTTTTGTAGTTGACCGTATTTTGACTTTTTAATGTAGACTTCTTTCTAAAGTCTACTGTTTACGTCTACACAAGAAGTCTACTTTTGAGTTACTTTTGTAGTTTGACCAAAAACGTATAGGTCATTTTAGTGTTTGACTAAAGTTTTTTAAAAATTAAAAAATTCATAAAACTCCGGAAAGCTGCAGTAGTCTACAAGGAAGTCTAAAAACTGTAGACTTCTTTGGGAAGTCTACTTATATTTTTCGGTCAAACTTAGAAGGAATCTTTTTTTAAGTAGGCTTCACAGTGAAGTCTACTCAAAAAATCCAATTGCAAAAATAATCTATTTTTTTCTGTAGACTTCTATTGAAAAAGTAAACTTCAAAAGTAGACTGTCAGAGAAGTCTACTAGTACATGAAGTCTACAATAGAAGTCTACTTTGTTAGTCAATGCATCGGTCAAATGCTAAAATAACTTTTTTGGCCGGAAGTCTACTTCTGAAGTCTACTGAAAGAAAGTCAACGAAATGGTCAATTGCAAAAATAACCTGTTTTTTAGTAGACTTCTTTAGTAGACTTCACTATGAAAAAGTAGACTTCTTCGCCAGTCTACGTTTGAAGTCTGCTTTAGAAGTCTACTTATTGTAATTTTTTTTAAAAACGCGTTTTAGGCAAATTTATAAAGTATTTTTTTTTTTTGGATTAGAAATGCTTTTTATGAAGTGATTGAACTACCCAGTGAATTTCATTTTATTTCATTCGATATTTATTGTTGAATCAGAAGTTTTGATTTTTATGTTAGTTAGCTTATTAAAGTAGACTTCTCCAGCAGTCTACGGATGAAGTCTGCACACGAAGTCTGCTCGGTATCATTATTTTTAAAAAAAAATTACAGAATATATATAAATTTTTTTTTTGTATTTTTAGGTTTTGGGTGTTACCTACTGGTCTAATTACTCAATGAGTTTCATTTGTTTTAAGTCGATATTTATTGTAGAATCGAATTTGTTGATTTAATAGCTAGTTAGCTTGGAAGAATAGACTTCATCTCCAGTCTACAGATGAAGTCTGCAGACGAAGTCTCCTATATAGAAAATTTGTTACTTACATTTTTGCAATAATGTAGTTTGTGATTTCGTTTGCTAATATGGTTTTTTGTGTGTTTTATTACAGAAAATGATCAACTCCATAAGATTGTAGAGTCATTTTTAAGTTCTCTTGTTAATAACACTAACCTCATTCTTCTGTTTTTTTTGTCTTTTTTTTTGTATTTGACATACTTTGTGATTTTAAAACTGATGCAACATTCAGTTACTTCAAAAAATTTGTGACATTGAATAAACATGTAACACCAATCCATTCTTCTTCTATTTTGTGGTTTTAAAACTGGTGCAAAATCAGTCACTTAAAATTTTTATTTAGAATTAGTTTATGGAACTTTTCTTTGCACCATACTCTGAACCATTATATTTTGTCCATATAGAATAATTTGATTATGTTACATATTTGATAAAGATACATAAAAATAACGGTTGATGACAATTAAAAGACTACTACAGTTGATGATTATTACAATTAATGACCATTACAAACAAAATTGATAATCATTACACAAAAAGAGATCATGAGCAAACAGAAGATCAATTAAGTACTTATTGGGTTCTGTTTTGTAAATGAGCTTAATTGTTGTGTTTGGCACTTGGGCCTGTTAGGACAAAACTCCCTACCCGTCTCGATGTCGATGGTGGAGAAAATGGAGATGACGGTGACAAATTTTTGAGATTTGTGAGATACTACAAATGAAAGAAGTCAACTTAAGAAGTCTGCTTTCGAAATCAACTCAAGAAGTCTGCTTTCGGAGATGACAGTGATGAATTGTTGAGATTTGTGAGATACTGCAAATGAAATGAGTAAAAATTAAACATCAACCCAAG